AATAAAATAATCTATAAACTATATAAAAATATTAAGAAAAATATAAAATATAATATAAAGCTAAAAATAAATATATATTAATATAAAAAAAAAGTAAATTCTATTACATATTTCTTTTCTTAAAATGTGAGGTCTTCCAAGTATATAATTATGATAAACCATTATAATAATCTTTTTTTAGATTTTATTGACAACATTTCAAAAGTTTTTATCAACTAATCTAATTATAACTAAGTTTTTAAACTTTAATTTTGTTTTATTGATAAATCATCATACTAAATTTTTATATTTGATTGATTGTTTGTTGATAAGCAACAATAGTTTATTATTTTAAGTTCAATAACAATATACTTGAATTTTTAATCTAGAACCTTCCAAATAATTCAACAAACTTAGTATGAACTAATTAGAATATAGTAGCTTGTTTTTAGAAAATTGATTATCAATTGTCCCAAAATTTTTCATAATCATTTTTTTGTTATAAACCTAATTAATTGTTCATTTAGTTTTTATTAATATCTACAAAGTTAACAAAAAATTATTATCTTTTTAATTTTTTTTTTTACTTTCCTACATTTATAATTATTATACTACAGCACAGACAACCTAGTTTTAACAAATAAAATTTTTTAGTAACTAAATATAAAATCTTATGTAATATATCCAAATTTAATGTATTTGTTATATAATCATATGACATGGCCAAATTTGAAATATCAATATTAATTTCAACGAATTAAATCAAATACAGGTTGCATGGATCACTTTATTGCTTTTTATTAGATAAAACTTTTTACTTCATGATGTATAAAGATCAATTTGTGCAAAATAGATATGTATAGGTATCACCATAGGAAAACCTTTAACTGGAAATAATAGTTTATATATTTCTGGTTGAGGTTTCTCTCATTTTTATTAACAAGTTTTATTAATAATAAATTTAGTTAATGTGATTAATGCAGTAAACAAATTATGCTATATGCCAAATAATGCATAATAATTTTCATGAGCAAATTACAAATTCGATAGTGCAATAATGTAAAAAAAAAAACATTCACTAACCTCTAATAATAATGTTGTAAGATTAGGATGTTTGCTGTCATAAGTATCAAAATTGATATCTCTTTGCTTTTATTAGTTTAAATCATAAACTCTTAAATTAATTCAAAATCATATACTGTTAGACACATTATAACTATTTTCTATTTTTACAATAAGACAGTTTGCATTAGCATAATTTTCAGTAATATCAGATTACTAATGTATTTATAATTCTAACCTTAAAAGTAAAGTAATTAGAACTCTCTAAAGGGGAGCTTGATGTGCTGTGTTAATACATATGTGAAATATGTATGCTGAATTTTGGAAGTAGCTTTAAATTTATGAGAAAAAAAGGAGAATAGTAAGAATTGAATATTCAGAATAAAAAAAAATATCCACAGTATGCCTAAATAAATAAGATTGATAAAAGAGATTAAACATAATTTTTTTTAAATAATGTATCTAAAAATATAAAAAAAAATAAATAATAACTGACAATTTGCTTAGAAATAACTTTACATATTCCTCTAAAACAAAGTAATTATAAAGATGAAATATGCCATGTCCAACAAGCTGCCAAAAAAAAGCTATAAAGACTTATGAAGCAAAAGTCCATAAGCATAGTGCTAATAATTCAGAAGCAGAAAACTTTGATGATATTGGTAATCTTTTTGTTTGTGATGAAACAATTGAAAATAATAATGCTGCAAGTATTATGAAAAGATTTTAAGCAGCAGCTTAATAATATAATTATAACAATGATAACACTGATAATAATAATGATAATTTTTCTGCCCATAATGAGCCAATTGAAAATGATAATGCTGAAAACATTGTGAAAAAACTTCAAAATGCAGTAAATAAATATTATCAGGAATATAATTATAATCAAACTTATAGACTATGTTACCTAAAAAACTTGGTCCATACTAAAAGAAGAAAAAAATAGCAACAACATAAAGCAGCAAAAGGAACCTCTCCACTATATATCTTTTGGAATTAAGAAAAATTACAAGCTAGTAGAAAAGAATTGTATGATGAACAGTTAAAAAATAAAGATCAGTTGAAGAAAGTCAATAAAAAACAATCAAAGAATGAAGATCAGTTAAAGAAAGTCAATAAGAATGAGAAAGATATTGGGAGATTGTTAGAAGATAAGATTGAAGCTTGTAATTTACTTAAAAAAATTCTAGCTGCTCTTGAAAATTTAGCATTAAATATCAAAAAAGAAAACATAAATAGTAAGGTTTGAGTTTATCTTAATAGTATTTATTTTTATTTTTAGCTTGTTAAAAATAATCATCAAAAAATGGAAGCAAGTAAAATCATTGCAGATGCAGCAGGAAAAGGAATGTATTATGCTAGATGCATTCATTCTTGAATGCATTAATATGTTATGGCATATCAGATTCTTTATTCTTGCTATAGGCATTATGCTAAAACATAGAGCTTTCTTTAAAATGAAGATGTTCTTCTTCAAATAAAATCATATATTCAAGAAAATAAGTGGAATATTACACTATATATGATTATGTTGCAAATGATTGATGTTATTTTACTAGGGCTCAGATTTGCACCACCTCTAATCATTTCTCTCAATACTGCTAAAAATTATTTAAAAGAGCTTGAATATGTCTATGAAAGAGTAAAAAAAGGTGTTTATATAGATGGACATGAGAGAGAAGATGTAGTAGCTTATCAAGAGATATTTTTGCAGCAAATAAATAAACTTGAATATAGAATGCCTATATTTTTAGAAGATAACATAGAAGTGGAAACTTGGCCAGACAGCAATATACAATCTCTTATTCTTGTTACACATGATAAATGCATCTTTTCTGTTAATAATAAAAGTCAAAGTCTTTGGATTCCTGATGGTAAACAACCTTTATGAAAAAAAGGTTAGAGCTGTTCAATTCATATTAGCAAATTTTTAACCAATATTTGTAGTTGACTTATGCTTCTTGATGAAATACAATCATCAAATGAGCTTTCTAGAGAAGCTTGTGTCATTACATACCTGGCAAAAATAAAGATAGATAGTAGAAGTCTAAGAACTTGATGAACTAGATAATCAATTATGCTATTCCTATATTCAAAGCATGTTTTCTAGGATACCAAGCCTTGTTCACATTTGACAATACAACAGGCTATGCTATTTTTTCACCTGATGCACTTATTGCCAACTATATGAATCTTGGTCCTACTAAAAAACAAGAAAAACTATGTAGTACATTATATTTTCATAAAGGAATAAGATATAACTAGGATATGATTTTTTTATCAAACTATCATATTCCTGAATTATATAAAGAAGCTAAAGAATTAAGAAAAGTTCTAAGAGAAAAAGAATTGTGGCCAGAAAAAGGATTAAAATTAAAAGAAACACAAAAATTAATGAGTTAACAACTAGACTTTTTGGTACAAAAAGGACTGTTGAAAGAAATTATTGTTGTGACTAGATACTAAATTGTGTTTTACCTTAAATTTCATTGTGAGCTCAATTACATTGAGAACTTTTGAGTGCAACTAAGAGATATAGCTGGTTACATTGTGATTATTTATGAAAATGATTGCAAAAAACTGTTCTGTTATCTCTTGATTCTGTCTTGCTCCCAACTATTCACCAATATACAAAAAGGTATTTCACTATATAGATGCATATCAAAAAGATTTAAAGAGTAAAGCAGCTGAATTTGCTGTTAAAAAATATCATTCACATCATCGAATTCCTGATTCAGTTTTAAATTCAATTGGATCTGATTAGTTAATTCTTTTTTTTTTGCATAACATAAATTTAATATAATGCAAGCACTCTAGTCATATTAAATTTGTGTCACAATATCTTGATCATTAGTGTGGCATAACATCTTCAAGCTATTTTCTATTTTCAAATTGCTACTGCTTAATGAATATGTGCAAATTTACCAAAAAAAAAAAATCTGTAAATCTATAACTACAAAAAAATTTTACAAAATTACAGATTTTTTTTGTAAATTTATATATATTCATTGAAAGTAGTAATTTTGAATGTCTTAGAATGCTTACACTATATTATATTATCAATTATTTTGAATTTTCATCTTTTTTTTGATCTTTTTGAAGAGTTTACAATAAATATAAATTTTATATGTGCAAAGCTGCTAATTATCAGTACTGCAGTAATAGTAATATAAATACTGAAGAATTTTTTTACAAAGTTAGTCTAATGCATTTAATTAAGTACTAAAAGAGGTTGAGTAATCTTGAAGTATATAAATAAATGATCCAAATAGTTAACTAAATAGTCAAATTACTGGTTTTAATTGTATTTATATTAAATTACTTAATAATATATTATAGTAGCCAAATTACTTGTTTTAATAGCATATATAAAATAGCCAAATTGCTTATTCTAATAGTATATGAGAATGGCCAAATTGTTTTTTAATTATAAAATTAGTTCAACTTTTATCCACTACTATTTTTTAAAATATAATTTTAAAAAATTTTCAAGAACTTGGATTTGTGTAATTTAAGTAGAATTATAGTTTTGAAATAAGATTTTGTATTTATTGAAGTTTTTAAAAAAGGATTAGCAATTTGAAATATATCAATTTTATTTGTTGAGACTAGGTTGTCTATGCTGTAGTTCATAAAGGAACCCTAGCTTTTTTACTGAATTGTTTGAAGTTTTTCTTTTTCTTAGTTTAACTTCTTGAGTGCCCAAATTAAAGCAAAAAAGGATCATAGCTCAATATTTAATATTGTACAACTAGTCCTTTTTATTTTTTTCATGCACACTTCCTTCTTGTTTTCTCTATTATAATAAAAAATTCTTATTTTTTTGTTATTAATTAATTTTTTTGAAAAATATTAAAAAAAATTTTTTTTTTTATAATTTTTAGAAAAATAATAAAAATGTCTCTTGAAAAGTATAACTTTAATATAATCCAGTCCTCAGCTAGCTCTTCTTCTATCTCTGATAATTTTAGCACCACATACTAAAATTTGTTAACACATTTTGGCTTCTTTCAGAAAATGGTGACAGCTGTACAAAGTTCTCTAGTTTGGTTAGAGAAAAAGACTAAAGAATATACAAGTAACTTTAGTTGTTCTAGTTGTATCCATCTTAAAACCAAACTAAATGAATCCTATGCAGAGTTAAAGAAAAGGCAATCACAAAAGGAGATGCAACAAAAAATCAATAACTTAAAGAAATGAATTAGGAAGTTGGAATATGAAAATTTTCATTTAAAGTTTTTAAATAATAATAATAAAAAGAAGAATAGTAATAATAATAGTAATAATAGTAATAATAATAATAATAGTAGTAATAATAACAGTAAAGTCGAAAAAAATTAAAAAAATTTTTTTTTTTGTTTGTAAAAAAAAAAGAAATAATAAATAAAAAATTTTAATAAAGAAAAAAAATAATAATAATAAATATAATATTGTGTATATATAAAAATTATATAATGAAACAAATAATAAAAAAAAATAAAATTCTATAATGATATATATTTTTTTATAATTATATAAGTATTTTTATTTTTTTTATTTATTTTTTTTTAACTAGTCTTTTGGGGACTAGAGCTTTTTTATTTAGTATTATAGAACATGATAACTCACAGTCTGATTATCTCAGAAGAGCTACCTTATATTAAAGAGTACATCTAGCCACATGTATACTTTTGATGTCTAATTTAAGTAGTTTGCCTATATATAGATTCTATACTAGCTGTCATATCTGCAACCCAACTATAGGTGTTGTCTATTTAAACTCTCTGTACTGTAATCCTTACTGTTATCACTAGAACATCTCTGTTACATAATGTCAGTCAAAAACTTCTAGATGCTTACTCATATCCTTAGAACCCCTGCCTTATTTCATGCAGATTATCTTTAAGACATCATTACTAAAGCCTTCTGTATCTCAAATTACAGCTAAACCTAGTTTACAACCCTTGTAAAGTTCATACAACTTCAGTACTCTTCTTTTACAACCTCACCATTATCTTGTTTACCCTTGCAAGTTCTCCTATACTACCAATTCAGTTAGTTCTGCATGATGCGACTTCATGCTCAGATCAACTAGTGGCCAGGTTAGTGAATCCTCTATCTAAAGGTTTTTGCCTATACAGGTTATCTGCTCCAGGTTTTCTTCTACAGATCAAGATCTTTACAGGTAGCATTATCGAAAGTTATACTATCTCTTCACTTAGGATTTTCAAGCAGGCTTCTAATCCAAGTATATACTTTTCAGATTTATTCATATAATATTGCATACTTTTAAAGTTAGTCTTGGTATAACCAGAATTACAGGATCTAAAAACTCCAGATCACAGATAAGTTTGCCAGAATAGGTCTATTTTTTCAAAATCTGTCACCAATGAGAATTAAACATTAGATCTACTGCTTGGAGAATAACAACCCAACCACTATACTAGGATCGCTATTTTCTATAAGTATTTTTATATATTTGCTAAAAAAAAATTTTAAATAAAAAGAAATAACATTAAAATATAAAATCAGAATAAATATCTTTTAAATATATAAGTGACAAAAAGAGAAAACCTGTAAATCATATTAATCAATGAGTGAAATAATTTACAGGTTTTTCCTTTTTGTCACTTATATATACTGTATATAGTTATTAAATAGCCTTGATTCATTTATAGAAATCAGTTAAAAATAAATAATAAGCATTATAGCTTCAACTTTTATAGAAGTTAGTTAAATAAAATAATAAGCATTATAGCCTTAACTTTTTATAGAAGTTGATTAAAAAAAAAATAATCAAATAAGCATTATAGTCTCAATTACTTTTATAGAAATTGGATAAACAAAATAATAAGCAATAAGCTTCAACTTTTTATAGAAGTTAGATAAAAAAAAATAAAAATTAATAATATACTAATAATAAAAATAATATAATTAAAGATCGATGATCTCTTTCTTCTGACTACTTGTGTTTAGGATTAAGAGTAATTTAGAAGAAACAAAATTAATTTATCTAAGAGCTTTCTTATCTTTAAAAACAGTATTAGAACAGAGGTATCTCTTCTCATTTCTAAGAAATGTAGTACTCCTACTTTTGAGGCTCACAAATACAAGAAAATTAAGTTTACTAACTACTTTATTATGAAAAAGCTTACTGTATACAACAAGAAAGACTCTTACTCCAAAGAAAAAACTACAACAGCAAACAGTTACTTGACTTCTTTAGCAGTTTTTAAACAACTAGACACTAATGATAACACACTCAGTTGGGACAAACAAGTTTCTTTAGAAAATATAGAAGATCTCTCTGAAGGAAGAAAAGACCAAAACAATGAACTGAATACATCTATTGTTGAGATATGTAATAAAGAACCTAATAACAATGAAAACTCAGTACTAACAACAACAATATACGTAAACCCATATAAGACACAATTAACAGAACTAAGTTCAACTAAAGTAAACAAAAGCAAAAAAACTGTGAACAAATTTGGATGAGTCTCTTTGCTAAAGTTAAAAGAGAACAGTCAACATTTTCTTCTTTTTTACCAAGAAATAATATAAAATCAAGAAATAATAATGCTCTTATTATAGATATCCAATAACTGATAGGTTTACTAAATAAAATAATGATCTTACTTTATAAAACTGCAGAGCATGACATAATAGCAGCTAAGCTATACATCAATAAAGAAGCATGTATTCATTTAGAACTAGTATTCTCAAACAAGAAAAAACTGAAGCATTATGCTTCAAAAGGTATACAAAACTTTAACAAAACACACTATAGCTACATCCTTTCTGATGCAAAAAGATCTTTTCTTCCAATCAAAATTAGAAATATTCTATTAGGTGATAAAGATATTATCTTAGAAGAAATCAAAGCAATTTTTGATAATATAATTAAAATTGTCTCAATTAAATCACTTTTAATCAAAGATACACTATATTTAACAGATCAATGGATCATTATATTTGAAACTACTGATGATCCAAAATTAGAAGAAAGAATTTCACAATTCTATATTCTTATAAATAACAAAATCACTACAGAATGGCACTCAGCTTCTAAACTTTGCTTCTTTTGTGATGAAAAAGAATATATCAAGAAGAAATGTTCTCAATACTTACAAGCAGTTAAACTTCAGTTACAATTCAAAAAGTTTAAAGCAAATAAGAAAAAAAGCAGAATTGCTTCTTTTGAAGGAGAAAAAGAAAGTTCCAAAACACAAGAACAGGAGATTCTCACAGAAGACCTAAACATGGATACAAATCAAGCTGTAGAAGCTTCTTTAGCCAATCCAGAAGAAACAACTAATTCTAAAAGAGTAGAAAAAGAAATTGTAAAAAACTCAGCAACAATGGAAGAAGATCTGGAAGTTTCTTATAATGAAACTTTCAGTGATATTGATAAAGAAAACCTTCTTACAACAATGTTACTAGCATTATAATTACAGAAACAGAAAAACCTCAAGCTTTGAACTCTTTCTTAGTTCTTATTGCAAATAACATCAATTTGCAATCTTATTTCAACAATGCTGAAGAAGAATTTACAGTTGTCTCATATAAAAGGAAAAAAGACAAGAAAATTTCTATAAAACAAAAGGCTGAGCCAATTAGAAAGACTCTATTCAGAAATCCCCATAATGAAGTACAGAACTTTCAGATCTAAATTTGTACCTTTACTTAATTTTTTCATAACCAATTACATCCGATTCAAAATAGCAACTTTTAACATAAAAGGGTTAAACAATTAACAAAAACAACAGAACACTTTAACTCTTT